TTATTAATTACAAGATTAACTTACTCCCAAGTATTTCTGCAACAGCTTCTCGAGTCACTAATGTTTCTGACTCCAAGTAGACTACGAACGCTGCCAGAAACACCAACCGCTGAAGCACAAACCTCCAGTGCTCATGAAATCTGCAGAAGAAACACCAAGTGAAGGTATAAATAAGTAATGTCTGTTACTGGAGCATTAGGCAACAGGCACACATTATGTGTGCATTGTGTTTTCTGCCTTTACACAGCATTTTGCAGTATTCTGGGCTTAACAAAATGACACCAGCTGAAAACCATCTCCTTGGTACCCCAGAACTCCATCCCCAGGTTACCGGCCAGACACATTTGCTTGTCCCTCTCACACACCTAACTCAGCTCCCAGAGTTTTCCAGGTTGGGGTGCCCATAGACAGTCAAGGCTTTCCCTCCCACCTTCTCTCAGCAGATCTGAGCTGACAAGATCCTTGTTCTTTGAAATGTTCTTGCCAGACACTGTCCCCTTCTGGCAGCAACAAAACACACAGGTGACAAGTTCATTTAGTGTCTGCACGACCAAACAGCCATTTCATGACAGATTTAGAGCTCTGCTTCCAGAAATGCCCCAAACCAAACAACTTAACTGGAATTAAGGGAGCAGCAAATGCCTAGCTCCCAGATACAAGATAATCAATTTCTTGAGCTTTCTTTTTTTTTAAGAAAGTTTCTAGAAAAATAATTTAATACTGAGTATTCTTAGTGAAAAGTTATAGTGTTTGAGCAAAAGCATTTTTTTATCTATGCTGACAAAAACCTCATACTTGTCTATCATGATTTACTTTTCAAAGAGAAAGAAGCATTCAGCCCATACACCTTTAAATCATTATTCCATAGCAATGATGCCAAATGCCCAGGTAATTCCCATATATATCTGTGTCTGGCTGGGTGTGATCCTGCGCACCTGTAATACTGATCAGCAGGAAATTTGGTCTTCAGAGACTCCATCTGTGTCCTCACTGTACTAAAGTGCTCACGAGCCTTCTGACATTTCTTTGGGACTGAAAAAGAAACAGCACAGCATTCAGGGAATGAGTATATTCAGGAAATGGATACTTGACAGGGACCAGGGGTTTGTAAGCAAAGTTTTCTAGTGTAGACAGTGCCATTTGTGCTTCTTCATTGTCCAAGACAGGCTACTGACCCTCGGAATCCATCTAAGAAGTATTTCTTGTCACACCATGAACCACAGAGTTAAAGGAGAAAGACTCCTGAGTTCCAGGCTGTCTGATCTGCTCTGGGCCTTCTGAGTCATACAGTCAATGGAACAGCAACTTTTCTTTCTCTACATTAAAATCTTATCCTATTTTTTTCTTATCAATCAGAGTTAGGTTATGTGAGGTGTAACATCCCTCCAGGTAATTGCATTTCCTGCTTTTTAATGATGTATTTGCAGAAACTGGGTTTCAGTCTGTCCAGTGTGTGTTACCCTCTGCAGAGCAGCGATCTCGTTTCCATACCACCCACTGCCACCTCCCGTTTGCCAGCAGGAGTTACAGCCACGCTGCACCCGCAGCACCAGCGACCGACCAGAGGAGTTAGACCAGAACTTCTTAACTGCAGCCCTCTCACAAATCCTGGCCACGGACCAAGGAAGGCCAGAGATCAACCTGACAGGCTCTCCTGCACGTGTAAAAACAAGGATTATTCACGCAAGATCCACAGAAGCTAAACCTGAAAGCTGTGGTGGTTTTTATCAAACAAGCCCTAGTAGATGTCACTTAAGTGTGTTTATAAAATTTTTCAGTTAATAAAACATAATTTCTGTTTAAAGAAAAAAGGGATGGAGAATAACATAGGAAAAAATAAAAGCTTCAGGAAGCAGAAGGTGTGAGTGCTCTGTGTGGCAGCCAGGATGAAAGACCCATGTGAAGCTCACTGAGAGCTAAGGGCTGCCTCTGTTGTGAGCTGTCACATAGCCAGGGGGGACAGAGTAAGGAACATATTTGCATTTTGGCTTCTACCACAGGAAACCTGTGACAAAAATAAACAATTAACTGTAAAATTAACTGTAAAGGTTTAGACAGAAGTGCCCAATGATAGACACATAACCCCCAAATTCAAACTATCCTTGTACAGGTATCACCCCTGATGTTGCTGTTGTGAGAGCAAAGACACTGAGGTGGCTGTCAGGCTCTGGAGATCCTGCTTGTCACCCTGGCTGACATCAGCTACCAGCAGGCTCACACTGCCCTGGGCAACTTTCTGAGCAGTTCTCAAACTCCATTTTGGACAGGGAGCCAAGGAAGCTTATGCAAGGTGTCCTTTTAAAAGCCCCTGGCTGGTATGGGGAACTGTCCTCCATCAAATTTCCAACCATGCCATGTTTCTACTGACAGAGCTCATGCCACTGCTTACCCTTAGGACAGATTGCTCGTGCAAACCCTTCCCTGTTCTCACTGACTCTCTGTTGTTTCCCTGAGTTTTCATCACTTCCCCTCAGCTGATGATGCAGGAATAAACAAAGGAACCAGGAGGCTGCAGGAGGAAGGAAATCTTCTCCCACTTACACTGGCACAAGGAACAACTGGCAAAATGGCTTCTGCTGGAGCTGCACCAACTGCAGCTGCAATTCAGAGCAACACAGCTGCAGTTACTCAGCATTAGAAGCTCTGTCACCTGTGAACTTGCAGTAATTAATAGTATTTTTGACCTTTTTATTATTAGTTTGTATATTTTACTTATAATTTAATATTTTTCTAGTTCAATGTAGTTTATTAATAGTGTTAATAGTTTCCTTACATCTTGGAATAAATAAGTGTAAGGCTAAAAAAATCTTCACGTTACAAAGTACAACCAGAACTCTGCTGCAATGAGAATAACTCTCATAGTTACAGGAGTCATTGTTTATCCCTTTTTAATCTCCTAATCATTCTAGTTTCTTAGTAAAAACACAGTACTGACTCAAACAACAAGATGCTGTAGGAAGCCAGACATTTAAGGTACTTACACTGCAGAACTACAGCTACTATCAAATAAAACTGCAGTCTGAGCATGTGACATCTGACAGGTGCTGTTCTCCCCCAACAATGCTTCTGTTAATTTGCATTCTATTATCAATCTAAACAATTATTAACTTTCTTTACTACAATGGTAACTGATGACAAACTGACAGGTCTGTTACCGTGAGTTAACTCCTAACCTATTAAGCATGAATTCATTATTTTTGATATTACAAGAACTATAAACTGAAGCTTTGGGTTTTTGGCTTGGTTTGGAGGGTTTTGGTTTTGTTCTTTTTTTTTTCTTCAACTACTCCAAATCTCTTCTCAAATTCTGCAAGTTCCAGGACCAGCTCTGTCCAGGAATTAAAATTAAATGCTGGAAAACAGCCTCTGAAGTTGTCATCCACATAACATCCATGGGTTTTCACAGCTTGTCTAAATAACCAATCAGCAGTTCTGACTTCCAGCACTGCCAGATTTCCCAAGCAGGTAGAACTTGCACTTGACAGCATAGGTCAAACCTCAAGTGTTGCTAAACACAGACCCTCTCTGAGGCCAGAGGAATTCCAGGCCTCCAGCTCCAGGAGGAGTGTCCTGGTGAACATCAGGCTGAAAACAACCAGTCAGCTCTGCAGGTGAATAAAACAGCACCTGGGGAGGCTTGTTCTATTCACCTTCGGAGGGTGGCCTGCCCAAATTCCTCTCAAGAGTTTCCAGCGAAGTCAGAATAGTTGCTTCTTCTCAGGAAATGCTGACTAGGAAAAAAAATGCTTTTAAGTCACATATGTAAGTTTATTCCAGTAGTTTCACCAGTAAGCTGAGAAACGGGGGAGCTGAAAGAGCACATTTGACACCGGCAGTGCTGCTCTCATGGCCCGGAGGAAACAGGCTGGCCCTGAAACATTCTGTCAAACATCTTAAAGCAAATTTGGACTGAGAGCCTGGAACCAGGCTAGGCACGACCCAAACCTCAAAAACAGCAGAACAATTCCTGCTGCCACCCAAACATGCAGCAAGGACAGCTCCTGCTTTTTCAGCCTTTGCAAATTCAATTTGTATTTTGCAACATTAGGTAGATTTTACACACACACAGAATCTGTTTTGTACAAATCAGATTAAAGCCCAGCCCCTTCCCAGTCTACCCTGAGCACCCTCAGAGCTTTCAGGACCGCAGCTTTTTGGGGTGTGGGGTGAACGGGTGGGAAGAGGACCCTGATACAAAGGTCCAACGAGTGATGATAGAACAATCCATGCACACGTCACTTAGAGGGATACCCAAGAGCCAGTTCAGCATCCCAGGAAGTAAACACCTAGAGAAGAACACGTTGCTCTGCACTGAGATGGGAGCAGAGAAAAAGAGAGAACGGTGCTCCCTAGGGCTGAACGGCAGCTTTGCTACTTGTCTGGCTTGAAACCCTCCCCCCGCGGCCCGGGGCAGGCGGAGCGGCACTCACTGTGCTGGAAGCCGGGTCCCTGGTGCACGCCCTGCAGCAGCGTCAGGATCTCCCGCGCCGTCTGCTCCAGCGCCTGCACCACCTTCCGGATCTCCTGCGGGCACAGCGCGCCGTCAGCCGCGCCACCGCCCCAGCCCCCCCCCCCCGGGCGCCCGCCCCCGGCCCTTCTCTCGTTTGCCCCCGGCACCTCTCGGATGTCCTGGTCCTGCCGACGCGCTCCCTGCAGCGCCGCGAACATGTCGTCTCACCGACCATGGCGGGTGCCGCCCTCTCCGCCCGCGGGGCCTCCCGCCCGCCCCCGCGCGCCGGCCTCAGCGCCCGCGGACGGGTGCCCGCGCACCGCCTGAACGGCCGAGCAAGCCGGGAGGGGCGGCTCGGGCGCGCTGCCCGACCCAGGGGAGAGAATTGGTGTCCCCGGGGAGGGGTCGCTGGCCCCGCAGTGCTCGTGTCCGTGTCCGTGTCCGCGTCTCGGGCGCGCACGGGCAGGGCCGGTCCGGCGGGGTCGACGCGAGGGCCTCGTTGCTTGGGAGACGGCGTTCCGGGCCTGCGCGGGCCGCGGCGAGCGGCAGCATGACGCCTTTCCGGCGGAGCAGCATGCCGCGCCACGGCGGCTGGGCCGTGAAGTGCCCGCCCGCTCCTGGCGCTGGAGCCGCGGGCTGCAGCGCGGAGTTCCAGAGAAGGTGCAGCGGCCGCAACAAGCGGCGGCGGCCAAGGTGGAGTGGCGCCAGCTGGGGCGGGCAGGGGGGGCCGCGCGCGGGTCCCTTCCCGGTCTGGACGCGGGCCACGCTGTCGTCCGCAGGAGGAGCTGACGCCCGGCGGTGGGTGTTCGTAGGGGACACCTCCCGCGGGGCCTTCTGCCCGCAGCCGGCAGCTCCGGCGAGGTACTTCGGGCCAGGTTGCGGACGGTGACGCGGCTCCGGCTCTCCAGGAGTAAGAAGGTGAGTTGAGATAACTTGGCGGCTTGCTGCTTCGAGCGGGGCGCGGGGGGCGCGGCGGAGCCCTCAAACCCGCGTTCGCCGGCGGTGGGGCCGGGCGGCTCGCTTAACACCGGGGTTTCCTCCCTTGCGCCAGCGGCCGCCCCGGAGGCTCCCTCCGCAGCCCCTCCGCCCGTGCCACACGTGGGACGCGGCGTTCCCGGCAGCGCCGGGCTCTGCCCCCGACCGAGCACGGGCGGATCGGCCGCGACTCCTGCGGCCCATTTTCCATAAGTAAATTCTCTCCTGTGGGGGATGTTGCCGGAGCGCACCAGTTCGAGAGACGACGTGAAACGTCACGATTCCGCTCTAGTTTCTTGTTGCTTTGTGTTCAGTTATTCTTCTCGTTTCTGGATTTGCTATCACGTTATGAGGCTGCTGTATAAGCTTGGTAACAACCACAGAACAGTAGCCATGAGGGGCAGATGTGTTTTTTAACATGTATGTGCTGGTGAGCTGTTTATTTTATGTACAAACGTATTTTACAAATAACGTAATACCAGTTTAGGCCTAAACCTGGTGCTTTTCATTATTTCACTGAACTTTTCAAAATTACTTGTGTTTAGCTGGTAAGGGGTTATGACTTTGGAAGAATAAAATAATTTTGATAGAGCTTTTCAGGTACCAAAGCATTGTTTCAGGTTTGTCTCTGTCATCACTCACAGACTGGAGGCAGCAAAGGCTACGCATTTATAGAGTTTGAGTGTGATGATGTGGCCAAGATTGTTGCAGACACAATGAACAACTACCTGTTTTCTGAAAGACTGCTCAAGTGTAAGTATAAGCTGAAGTGTAAGTCCTCTAATGTGGAAAGGAAATTCAGAGGTATTTCCGTTATTTTTTTTCAGACTGTTCATAGAACCTTAGGGTTTTTTTATGAAGTTTTTTCCCAGAAGTATTTTCTGTGGGACTAAGCCTGCCTTCCTTCCTTTCTTTTCGTCATGTATAGAGAAGATTCTCTGCAGTCCTTTGGTCACCATTGCTGTTTTTTCCTCTGGGCTGATAATGCTCACAGTGTGATTCTGTAACCTGAAATCTCAGGGAATGGTTGGGTTTGCTGTGGAGGCAGCAAATGTGAAAACTCCTTGTTGTTTGTAACTGTTGCAGCTGTTTTCTGTAAGGTCAGACATAAGGGGCTTTTTTGATTACAAGATTAATGAAATCAGTGAGTTTCTCAGACGGGGTGACAGTAACACTTGCTTTGTAAAGGATTATGAGCTTTGTGTTGTTGTAAAACAATTATCTGTGATTTCTCTGGGTGAAACTGAAGTGTTCCTTCCATCCATCCTCCATCAGTTCTCCCAGTGACTGAGCGCTCAGTTGCATGTTCTGTGTTGATAAGATGCTGCACCACTGACAGTGTTGTCACAAGGAGTGAGCGGCGTTGTGTGGGTGTGTCTGGGGAGAAGGGGAGCTCTGCCATGACCTCCTGTCCCATGTTTGTGGTGCAGGTCAGTTCTTACCTCCTGAAAGGGTCCATGAGGACCTCTTCAAAGGCTGTGACAAGATATTCCGGAAGCCTTCCCAGCCGGCGGTCCGGCGGTACAACAGAATCCGCTCCCTGGTGGAGAAGGCCAGGATGACACAGCGCCTGCTGCGGAAGGAGAGGCTCTTAAGGAAGAGGCTGGCTGAAAAGGGGCTCGATTATGACTTCCCAGGATTTGTAAGTTTGGCACCATTTCCCATGAGTGTTTTGTGCAAAATGTGTTTCTAGGGCTGTGCTAAGTACAAGAAGATCACCTGTCTTGTGTGGAACTGGCAAAAGTCCTGGAGCCTCGGGGAGGTACAAGCAGTTAGACATTCTGTGGCTTAATACTGGAGTGCAGTTCACTGGAGAGCAGCAGGGGCTTTGCCTGAGCCCTGTGGGAGGCTTTGGCAGGGTGGAGTTTGAAGGCGGGTCTCAAGCCCTGAGCTTCCATCCATAGACCCTGCCCACACTAACCAGGATGTCACTCCTCTGCAGAGGGCTTGGATCAAGTGCTTGAGTTGTAAGCAATGCTGTATAACATGGTATGTTTTTAAAATGCACAGGAGCAGCTTTTCTTGTGTTGCTTTGGGTGTTTTTGTTCAAACCAGATCACCTCTGTGTCAGTCAATCTATTTACTGTAACAAAGAAACCTGTGGACTGTTAAGTGACTGTTTGCAACTTCCCACAAGGAAGTTTGTAGTGATCCACCTGATCTGTCTTACTTCCTAGGCTACGCAGGCCCTTTGCAAAGAGAGGAAAAAAGTTAAAACATCCAAGAAATCAAAACTGAACGTTTCTTTGACCAGCCAGGTAAGACGGACTGACTAGTCCTAGTGGTGTCCAGTACCACACTCCGCCATTCACACCAGGGCAGATGTTTCACGTCTGCAACCAGCATCTTCATCTTGATATCAAAAACCTCGACATTGTTTGCTTGAGAGATTTTTGTGCCAGTAGCTCCTTTGAGATATATTAACACTCTTGAACAAGGGAGGGCGGTTGAATCATCTCGGTTCTTTCCCCCGTGGGAGTGTTCAGCAGCGAGGGCTTCTGCTCAGCGTCTTGTAACCAGCAATGCCCATCCCATGGTGCCCCCAGGTAGTGGTGGGTCTGCTGTCCAACTTGGCTGTTCAGCACTCACTCTGCTGGGGACAGGCACCTGTACACCACCTACACCTGTGCTTTAACCTGTATGAAATGATCTTGCTGGTATCCTGCTGTTGGTCTGCCCTATGTTACAGTGCCAGCCTGTTTTGGTGAAAAGGAAGTTGAATTGTTAACACAGTCTAGTGCAGTGTGTCCCCATTTACATACTGTGCTGTCCCTTCTACCCCGTGCTATTCAGGCATGGTATTTGGTGTTTTGGAAACAAATGCCAGCTAAGAGCAGCATTAGGATGAAAGGGAAATTCAGGTCATCAGGACTGAGATTTGGGATACTGACAGTCTAAAAAGGTCTGTAAGATTTTGTTTCATCACTGTTGTGAGTTGGTTTTGGTTTGTTTTTTTTTTTTATTTTGAATGTTGCTGGATTTACTTGTAATAATTGGGACATGGCTGATTGTGAGGAATAACTTGTACATTCTGTCAGCTGAGTTCTGAGGTCTTACTGAGATAACGAAGCTGGGATGTTTCAGCTCTGCTGGGGGCTTGATTGTGGAATTTCGGTATGCCAGTCTCAGATATACTTCCCTCTGTCACCCTGATTCTTTTCCTCTTGGCTTTCATGGTGCTTTGAGTCAGGAGATACAAAGCTTAGAAAGCAAACGTGCATAATGAGTTGTTAGAAAATGTAAATTAATTTACATTTGCCTTTTACATACACTTTTTTGAAGGTGACACTTTTGTCTGAAGAAATAATATCTAAAAAAATAGCTGGTTATAAAAAAAAAAACAATTTTCCTTAAGGTGTGGAAATTCTGAAGGAGAGGTGGACTGAGATGCCTCTCAGTGGTACCACAGGAGCAGTGACAACTTTCTCTGGCAGGTGGCTTTGCAGTGAATCATGTTTTTCTGATCTCTTCAGGATCCTACTCCAGTCTGTACTCCTGCAGTGCTCGAGCGCCGGAAAGCTGCTCAGGTGGATGATGATGCAGAGGATGACGAAGTAACTCTCCGACTGCCCCCTACCAGTGTTAAGAACGCTGTGCAGAGGCCAAAGAAGCAGCCAAGGAAAAGACCGAACCTGAATATACAGAAATAGACTTAAAATTTTAGGGGCTATAGCCATGTTTTCCCTCAACTTAAAAACTGTTGAGGTGGACCTTCTAGTGGTTCTGCTGCCCTGGCTCTCTTCATCCTGACTAGACTGTTTTAGTCTTTCCTAGGCAAGGACTGTTCACAAATCCTCCCCCTCTGCTGTAGCCATCAGAAGACCTATGGCCTTCTCTGCCTTTGAAGATTTTCTTGACTTTGTGCTCACAAGTGCCCATGCTGTGACATGGCTACAGTCGTGCCGGAACCTCCAGTTAATTTTGTAACTTGACTCTACCGCTCACTGTTTGGAAAGAAAATGTGAGGCTGTCCACTCAGAGCTTGCTGAGGAAAACAAATGTATCTTAGATTTATAATTAATGACAGGTTATTAAAAAAAACCCCATTTTTCAACTTTGTTGGCTCTGGTAGTGGTTCTTCTGTTCAACCCACTGTCTGTGTTTCATGTGAGTTCTCACATTTTGGACAAATACAGGGCAAGAGATTTTTTTTTTTCCCCCCAGGAGGAAGACATTCTATGAATTTCATCTCCTGTTTGTGATTAGTCAAGATCTGCCTGTACTGTCCAGGGCAGAAGTAGAATACCACACTGCCTGAGCAAGCCAGTGCCTTTCAGCCCTACTTTCAGCAATGCCTGGGAAACTACCTTTGCCAGAATATGGAGAGGTTGCAGAGAGCTTGGAAAGGCCTTGGATTAGGAAGATGGGGAGAAGAGACAGAGTCAGATGGCTCAAGTCACTCACATTCAAGATTCCCATTCCTTTCACTGTGCAGGCCAAAGATTAGTGTTTGAGTGTTCCCTGCTGCGGAGGACACAGGGTGACGTGGCTGGTGGCTCAGCCAGAGTCACGTTCATTCCTCACCCACTTCTGTGAAAGACATTTCACTCTGCAGAGGTCCCAGGTGGCACCTGCTGACGTACTGCTTTACCTCAGGGCTGGCCATGCAAAGGCAGCTCCGGGGTTTTGTGTGCCACAGATGTGCTGTTGCCTGGTTCAGAAAATATTCAAGGACCTGTGAAGTGTGGCTGCTTTTAGGAGGGCTTCTTGCTGAGCTGTAGAGAGGAGCAAACAGTGACAACTAGCTTAGATAAAGCTGTTCTTAGATTGAGCCAGGCTCTGAGAAGATGCATCAGTAATCAGAGCAGTCTGGGTTCTATTGGCAGTTCTGTTGTCCCTGCAGCACCTTGTCCCTGCATTTTAGTTTCGCTGCCTGCATGAAACAAGGGTATCTTCTGCTGCAGGGGGCAATAAGCACATTGCAATATTGCAATAAACATCTGGGTGGGTGAACCAGGAGTGGGAAGGCAGGTTTACACTCAGAGAACTGAGTGTAGCTTTTTGTTCTGCATTAAGATTTATTTTTGTTCCAGCTAGCTTGTCATAGGGCTGATGGCAGATATCCATTCTGTTTGAAAAGGCAGTTTGACTGTGAACTTAGAATTTGGATTTTATTGCAAATCTGAGACCTGTAGAAATTCCAGTTTGGGTTCTCTGGCACCTACTTAGCCATGATCTTTTGTTGTCTGAGATCAAACACTCTCTGCTGCTGTTGGCTGCAGGTCAGGTTTGGCAGAAGGTTTCAGAGGAAAGCCCAGGTGATAATAACTGGCTGCTCAGGTAGGTGGCTGGCACTAATTCCGTGGCTATTTTAAGACTGGAGTCCTGGCAGAGGAGGACAAATCTAAACCATTGGCCTGGCTAATCCTGACCTATCCAGCCTGATCACTTAAATAATTGTGAGGTTATAACATTCTCTTGACTCAAATGAGACCATTCTCCATTGTCGCCCTAAACTGTCGAGGAAGCCACTTGGGTGAGTGTGCCTTTATATCAAACACTTGTCACCTTGGGCATGCCAGAGAAATCAGTTTACCAGCCTGCTGGTCGTGGACACTCCTTACCTTTTAATAGAGTGTTGCTGTGTACATCTGCAGGCTTTCTTCCCTCTGCATTGTTTGATGTGAAACAGGCAGTGCTTGCACCTCAAATCTGTGGAAAATACATCCTCAGCTAAGATGTGAGATACACGGGGTCAGAATAATTGGCAGAAATTGCTTATCTGTTCATAACTGATGTGCAGCTCTGTAAGAACTTCTAGCTTGACATCATACAGCAGAGAGCAGCAGAAAAAAAAAGCAATTTCTTTTAAAATCCATGTTCCTAACTTTGTGTTGGGCAAATAAAGATGGCTGTTGGGTCAGGAAGAACTAGAAATGTGGCTGGACTTTCTCCTGCTGGGAGCTGAATCTCTGGGGCACAGCCTGACAGCGGGGGGCAGCATGCCTCAGCTGTGGACTTATGCTGCAGGACAAGGTTTCCCGGGAAATGACGTCCGTCCGGCTGTATGAAGAAACCCGTCTTGTCCAGGCAGTTTGGAGTGACTGGCTGCGTTGGTGTGACTCATGTGTCTCCAACAAGGTTTAAGAATGTGTGAAAAACCTGGTATGGATCTTAATCAAAAATGCCCATTTCTGTGGTGCTACTCCTTCCTAGGCTGTTGAGTTAAAGCTGCTCTTAAGAGAACTTAAGTTTATCTAGAGTAACTTCTCCAGTGCAGTTCCATGTTCACCAAAGCCTGAGCATCCTCCTTCCTATGCTTCCCATTCCAACCCTTTGGCCTGCATTTTGAACCCAGAGTTGCATTGTTCCTACTTTGCTTTTGTTGCTGTGCTCCTCTCTGTGCCCACTGTTCTGCCCCTGCTGTGTCCACTTGTGGCTCTCTTCTGTGTTGGACTCAGTGGATTCTTTTCATGCCGCTTGCAGTGCCAGGGCTATCCTGTCTGGCTGCATGAGCTTCCAGGGGCTTTGGCTTCTGCAGGTCTCTTGGACAGGTTTGTTCCTTTAAGCCAAAACCCTGGCTGCTGCTGACTCTCCATGTTCACATAGCAGTGTGAGCCTTGATGGGAAGACGTTCAAGAAAGCTGTGCTTACAATAAGGTTGCTTCCTGCTGTAATTTTCCTTTCCCTTCCTTTTGTTTGTTCATCTTCCTTCAATTGAGATCAGCTTAGATGGCAGTTCTGAAAAGCAAGGAAACAAAATTCTGTTTTGTTTGAGTAAAGCACAACAATATCCAGGCTACAGCAAGGAACTCTGGGCAGAAGGGCAGCTTTTCTTGGTGATAGGTTCTGTTTTTAGGCTGCCTGTGTTATTAATATACTGCTGTCCAGGGAGATGTACGTAAGCAGAAATTCAGACACCTGATACTTGCCAAACATAGTTTCCATAGCAAGTGGACAGACATGCTGTGTCATGAGTTATGCCTCAGTGCCTGCACTGATTTTATTTTCTCATCTCTGCAGTCATTTGATCATTCATGTTGGACAAACACAAACCTCCTGGCCACTGATTTTAGGGCAGGCTCTGAGTTGTTTTTACTGGGATGCTAGGAGTGTTGGGGCTGTGGGTTCAAGGCATGACTTGCAAGTTCTCTGCCTTTCAGTAATGAATGACTTTGTGGAGCTGTTTTGCTGAACACTTACGTATGTATTACTGTTTTCAAGCTTCAAAAACACATGCTAGCCAAGCCTGCTAATTTACACTCATTTATTACAATTTCTCTGTTTTGCAGGAGGGGGAGCTGGTTTTAAGAGTGCTTGGTATTCCCCAGCACATGAAGTACTGGAAGTATAAGAAGTATGGGGGTTGGGGAGGGTGGGGGAGAAAAGCAGAATTGGCTGCGAGATAGAGAGGAGAAAGGAATGATGAAGCCAGTGTTCACCTCTCAAGAAAAAGGCACTGGTGCATTGGCAATGTTAGACTGCTCAAAATTAAAGATGCAGTTTTATGTTTCCTTACTTATTTTGCCTGTCAGATGTGCTGTGGGATGCCCAGGCTGCACAGAGCATAAGGGGTGTGCTGCAACCACGGTCCAAGTGCTGGTGCTTGCTCATGATCAGAGTGGAGGAGCAGAGCAGGCTGGGCAAGTGACACTTGCTCTTGCCAGTATCAAGCCTGTTTGCTTGCATACCTGGCTTTTCAAAAGGCTGCAGCCCTGAGGAACAAGGCTAAAACCTGCCTGCAAATAGCTCATGGTGCAAGGGAGGACTTGGGCATGGCTCTGAGGGGTGACACACTCTCCTCTCAAGTAACACACCAGCGAGGCAGAGGGTAGCTCTAGCAAATTCCCCCTCTCCCAGCTTTCCCTTTGGAGTGTTGGGATGTTTGGTTCTCACTTTGCTGTGGGATGCAGCTGCCTGGGGTAGGGCTGTGCTGTGTGAGGTGCTTTGCACATCCCTGCCCTGGGCAGGGTGTTGCAGGTGAAAGCCAGACATGTAAGTAACAGGAGTAGAGTGAATGTGATCTCCGTTATGTGTTTTCCAGGAATACCCATGAGTCCTCTTGGACCAGGCTCCTTCATTGTCCAAGGCACTGTTCAAATACATCCTGTTTTCCTGAGTTTACAATCTAACCCCCAAATTCTTGAAATGTTCAACTCTAGGCAGCAATAATCTGCACCTTCTTAGCCAGAGATATGTTGGGGACCACCCCAGGGTGCTGCTGGAACAGTGGGGAGGCCATTCTGAGCTGCTGTCTGGCATGGCTAATGCAGGCACATCCCTCCCTGCCAAAGGCCAGCAGCTGTCAGAGCAAGCTGAAGAAATGGCTAACTGTGTGAGTGAGAATTCTTAAAGTGAAACACTTTCTCCCATGCAGGGTGCAGCAAGGCCTCTCATCACTTCTCCCACCCAGCATTAATTAAGCATATGGCAGGGGCAGAGATCTTTGCTGTCCTGGGAGCCTTGGACTAGTTGTGGCCAGTAATCATGTGGCTCTTCTGTGCTGGCAAAGGATAAACTACACAGAAGCTCCTACATAAATCTTGGCTCTGAATGAGGAAGAAAATGATGGTTTATAATTATCTTCAAATTTGTTGCTGAAGAGAGCAGGCAGGGGTGGGAGGATGAACACTGCAGGACTTCGAGACAGTAAGGCACTACGGTCACTTCCTTTCCCTGGTTGCACATTTGACCCTGCACTTGACCCATTACATGGAGTCTAGGGCCTGGCCTGGATTTGAAACTTGTTGTTTTAATGAACAGGAAGGAGAAAAAAAATCTGGGTTTTATGGTCGTGGTTTTTGGAAAGCCCTGTTTTTTTCTGCTTGCTCCATAGTGTGGCGTTGCTACCAGTTTCCCACAAGGGCTTGCACAAACCCAGCAAGTTTGCATGTGTGTTGTTTTTTTTAAAAAAAAAGCAGAGAAGTAAGTTGCTTCTGTCAGGGTGGCTTCGCAAGGCTGAAAGCATTGCACCATTTTGAGAGTGAAGGCAGTACTTTGCCTCTCACTCCTGTACTCAGTTACTGTTTCTCACAGAAGGCAACCTGCAGTGGGGGGTGAGCAGAGTATGTGCCAGCTGTGCAGCAGCAGCACAGCTACTTTGTTGCCTGTAGCA